GCAAAGTAAAATAGTCAATCGACCAACTTTTGAAGATTTTACGAAAACCACAAGGACAACAACCAAATTTTTATTCACAGCTCAACCAGCTAAATTTAATAGATCATTTCGTATTAGGAAGTAATACCTTCAGAAAAAGTTTTTTATAACAGAAAAAAACTTCAGCCATCAATAGCCGAAAAACTGTTTAAGGGATAATCTAAGAAATAAAATAAGAATAAAATAAAAAGATGAATAATTATAACAAATAAATTCATAGTAGAGATTAAATTCATCAATTCTTTCTTTTACTATTTTACTATATAGTACTCGCTGATTCATAGACCGATTGTCAATTAAGTTTTTTCTAGCATACATATTAATATTTTATTTATAGAAGGTATTTTGATTTGTATTATTATTATTATTTAACTCTTTTATTGAACATAACTTTATTTCTTTTCATTGCCCATTTATATTGGCATGTAAAACTTGCTTTTTCGAATTATAATAAACACTTATTTGTGTATGAATTTGATTTATTTATTTATTTTTGCTTCCTATACTATGTTGTAAAATAAAAATTATCGTTTGCATGAGAACACCTTATGCCACGTAAAAATTATAATAACCAATAATAAAAAAAATAAAAGATAAAAGCAAAAAGTAAAAAGAAGAGTACAATTTATAATATTACAACCAAAGAGCTAAGGAGAAAATACAGCCTTATTCACTATTTAAAATAAAACAAAAAACAATCAACGGTTAATAATTTTTTCAAAAAAAATGATAGACTGTAATGATAGTGTAACAATGAAAATACTTACTTGCTATTCATTATTTAAAAAATAAGACAAAACAATCAACGGTTAATATTTTTTCAAAAACAATGATATTGACTGTAATAATAAATAAATGATGAAAATACTTACTCCCTATTCATTATTTAAAATAAAGTAAAAATCAACGTTAATAATTTTTTCAAAAAAAGATATTGACTGTAATAATAGTGTAATGATGAAAATACTTACTTTCTATTTATTATTTAAAATAAACCAAAAAATCAACGGTTAATATTTTTCAAAAACAATGATATTGAATGTATTAATAAATAAATGATGA